CTTTTTTTTTTTAGCGCCAAACTGCGTGCCGCGAAATTCGGATCTCCCGCGGAAAATGCCGCGCTTTGGTTGGTCGCCGCACCACGCACAGGCTCCACCCCCCGGAAAGGACCGGTCCCCAAGGCTGCGATTGCAACACGAGCTTTGCTGCTTAAAGGGGCCGCCACACCTGCTGTCGCCTGGCGCCCGCTGGCCCTCGCAGCCCGCGAAACAGGTTGGGAGGGTGGGTCCCGTATCGTGCAGAGGCAGCCGGAGCTGCACGGTGGCCCGCTGAGTAATGGGCCCGGATTCCGGGGCGGGGGCAGATTTGGGCACGGAGTCCTGTCCTGAGCCCAGACCCAGCAGCACGTTGCCCAGGCCAAAGGCCTTTTGTTAGTTTGCACGGTTGCTTACTTAGCATATACGCTTTTATATCCTTTTTCTCCCCCGCTAAAATGAAAGCCAGCAACCTGTTTTCTTTCTTGGCAGGGGGCGATGGGTGGAGCCTAACATTTATACCTCTTCATAGGAGGATACTAACATCTGCTGAGTGCCTACAATATGTCAGGCTCCCCGTTAGTTAGATCATTACACGAGTTGTTTTATTTAATTGAATCCAACAATCCTGGGAAGAGGCATGATGGTCTTCGTGGTAAAGGTGGAGACACAGAGAGACTCCGTAACTTGCCCAAGCTCACACAGAGATTCACTGATTTGAGAACTGGCAGTCCAATCTGGACAAGGTGCCGGCCCAAGTGGGAGGCACAGTCTGCGGGTACAGAGAGGTGTACCCTTGTTTGTTTCTGAGCCCTTGTTTGTTTCAATATGAGGTTTCTCCTCCACTCTCCCAAGCTGTGTCCTGCCCCATGCCGGCCTGGGTGGGGGCTGGGTCTGGAGTGCGGAGCTCGTTCTTGTTCTCGGTTACATTCCCAGAGCCCAATACTCAGTAAATATTTGAACATCGCCGTGTTTCTCCTAAACAATCCTTTGGTCACAAGAGCCTCCCTCTCTCTTTCAAAACTTTCTTTGCTGGTAATCCATTTACATCCCCCGGCTCTCGAGTTTAGAGATGCCGAGGCTCCAAGATGTGACCTTGGCTAGTGAGTGGTGCAGCTGTCAGAAGCTAAATTCAGGTCCGCCGGTTCCTGCCGGGTGCTATGTGATTTCTATGCAGGTCTGAGCCTGGCTTTCGAAACCTTCCAGAGTCAGTCCCCAGCTTAATACCAGGTCCTCAAACTCAGATGTCATGGATGAAATGGCACTAATGCACGGTGATTAAGAGCCCAGACTTTGTAGCAGACAGCACTGGGTTCAAACCCAAACCCAGGTAGTTACTTTACTAACTGTGTGATCCCAGGCAAGTTTTATAAACTCTCTGAGCCTCACTTTTCTCATCCCTATTAACACCCACCTCATTGGATTGTGGGGAAATCTCATGAGATAATGCATGTAAAGCTGTCAGCACGGAGCCTAGTTCATAAAGAAATAGCAGCTGTGGTTACATTTCTGGCCTTATCTCCAGTACACAGACCCTTTTACTCCAGTCTACACATTTCACTGATCCTTCAAGGCCCAGCTTAAACCTCACCTCCTCCAGGAAGCCTTCCCTGCCTGCCTCCCCCTCCCAGAGTGCTTCTAGACCTCTTCCCATGCGTAGTGTGTTTCGACTCAACAAACAAAGCTCTGTTTAGTGGTAAGGAGGCTCCAAGTCAAGTCGCGTTCTCTGCTTCCTAGCTGAGCACCCCTGGACAGGCTGCTGCTCCACCCCTCAACCTCAGTTTCCTCAACTATCAAGCGCAGACAATGCTTCTACTCGGCTGATTTCACAGGACTCTGAGGCACTATTGAAATGGTGGTGGTGATGATTCTCACAGCATCCCCCTGAGACAGGCACTATCATTATCCCCATTTTACAGATGAAGGATCCTGGAAGGAATTGTGGCAGAGCAGGTTTGGGGGAGGAGCAGAGCCCTAGGGCCAGGAAGGGAAATGGGGGTGGTAGGGTGGGGCTGAGACTAAAGAAGGGAGCCAGCAAGGGGGCCAAGAGCCAGCTCTCTGTGGTTGAGTTTCGGGCAGCTGGGGCTGGCTTTAGTTTCACTGCCTGGGAACTGACTAATTCCTGTGGGAGCACATCTGTAGTCTATCTCCCCAAACACGAATCCCTGCCCCATCCATTCCTAGCGTGTGCTCTTGATCAGGTTACTGGGCCTCTCTGAGCCTCAATTTCCTCATCTTTGAAATGGGGATGGCAAAAGTGACCTGTCTATTTACTGTGCGATTCAGCAAGTTGTCCTCAAAGTCCTCAGAGGGGCACTACTGTGCACTTAATATATTTTATTTTATTTGTTTCTTTTTAACATATATTTAAGTAATCTCTACACCCAACGTGGGACTGAACTCACAACGCCCAGATCAACAGGTACATGCTCCACCAACTGAGCCAGCCAGGTGCCCCGGCACTTAATATATTTTATCTAAGATTTGTGTGAGACGGACCAGAGGAAGCCCCAGTGGAACCAAACTACAACATTTGCAGTTTTCCATTCCTGGGTTACACGCTCCCATCTCCCAGGTTTTGCTACCGTGGCTCCATATCCCCAAGGCCCCTTCTCCCTTCCATCCCATCATGCTCAACTCTGACACAGCTTTAAGGTCCAACTCAAATGGCGGAGTGGCAGGAGCAAAAAGCCTGAAGTCAGACATTTAAGGAAACTCTAGGCTCCTTGGGAACAGGACCCATGCTTTGGTTTCATCTTTCTGCCGTCCTCTCTGAGGGTGCCAGGCCATAGTAGGCCTGTGCTCAGTGATATGGTGATGATAATTCACATTTCCTGAGCACCTCCCAGCATAAAGCACCCAGCTAGGCACTTTATATGCACTATCACCTTGATATTTCCCTATAACACAGGTGCAATTTGGACAGATGAGAAAACTGAGGCTTAAACATGCAGGGAGATTTGACTAAGGGCTGGTTAGAGATGAGACCAGGAACTGAACTCAGACCTCTGGCTCCCAAGGCACTGAGTCATTCTGAATAAAGAGCTTATCCCCAGTGTCCCAGGTGAAGGAGGGTACATTCTGCTACTGAATCCAGGGTTCTACTGCTGCAGACATTGGTGAGGGTAGAAAGAGTGTGCCCCACCCAACTAAATAAGCTAGGGATGCTTAGTGCCATTTCCCAGACGAGGAAGCCAAGGCATGGGGGACATTAAAGAACTTGCTTAAGGCTACACAGCTGGTAAGGGAGAAAGACCCTATTCCAGACACACCCCAAAACTCTGGAAAAGTTCCCAAACCCAAGCAAACTTCCATTCCAACTGGTGTACCTCATCTCTGGTGTATCGTCTCCTGAAAAATGCTCAGATTCCCTCTGTTCAAAGTCTTGCTTATCAAAATACAAAACTCTTTTTTTTTTTTAAACATTTTATTTATTTTTGAGAGACAGAGCATGAGCAGGGGAGGGGCAGAGAGAGGGAGACACAGAATCCGAAGCAGGTTCCAGGCTCTGAACTGTCAGCACAGAGCCCGACGTGGAGCTCAAACCCACGAACTGTGAGATCATGACGTGAGACGAAGTCGGAGGCTTAACCGACGGAGCCCCCCATGCGCCCCCAAAATACAAAATTCTTGATAGAAGCTTCCTGAAGGTACAGACCTCCTGTTTGGGGGCTCCCCAGTGTGTTACCTGTTCAGATGAACCTAAAATCAAGAGAGAAGCCAAATGGGCACTGTGGGAAGGAAGGGAGAAAAATCTCTGCCCATT